GAAGTAAATATGGAACAATCTTCTCAGGAGGAGAAATACATAGTCAGATGGCAGCTGAGGGGAATTAAAGAGGAATTAAAGTAGAGAAATGAAGCCTGAACGTGCAAGAAAATACTGATGGCAGTCCAAAGAAAGGTGGTGTTGGAAAGACATTGGGTGGGTATGACAAGTGCAGGTGAAGTATTGCATGTTCTCAGATTTGTCATGTGCATGTTGAAAGAATTGAACCATAGGTTCATACAAGTTGGAAGGATGTTCAAACAGCATCTAGTCCAGTGTGTTGTATCTGGAAATTCTGCTAGTCTTAGAACTGCCCTATCAATTTCCCACTTGTATTAATCAGAAAAAAATCAGAAAAACCAAGCACTCTCTGTTAATGGGAAGCCTGGCAGGAGCTGAAGGCACTCAGAGGACAAAGCAGCTGCTGACTGTCCTCCTTTTGCTGTTTGTGGTTTTCTAAGTGTTTTCCTCATATCACTGTGTGGTGCACGCTGAAAATGATCAATCAAGGCTCACGCACAGGATCTTTCCATGCTGGCAAGTGAAAAATCAATTTGTGTTTGAAGGAGTAAACAGTAGCATGAGCTTCATTTCCCCAGAGTCAAAATGGATTCCTTGATAAAGGAGATGACAAGGAAAGCTGAGCTCTTGATGTATAAGCACATAGGTGCTCATGTGCAAGAAATGAGTGGACTCCTACATTCATTTTCCATGCTACACTTCCCTTTTCAATAAAACAAAGATAGGAAGAAGAGATTACTTGTTGAATGCCAATTGTGCATCAATAAAACCAGGGGGATTGTTCATGAACAGTTTATACAGATGAAAATGTAGTCGGTCAGTTCTGGAAAAGACATTATTCATGGTGTATTTCTGCTTTATGGCACTACATTTGAATTTTCAGAACTATTTTCACAAGTCTGTTGGAAGATTGTGTTGCTAGCATTTCTGAGAAATGTCTGCTGTTGGGTGTAAATTACAGGGAAAAGAGTCTTTGCATGATATTTCTGTGCCACGAAAACAAAATCTGATCTCATGCAGGCTATAAATTGTCCAGGAGGTAAGAGTAGTCAAGGAACTGTAGAATGAATAAATGGAAGGTTAGACCAACGTGGCTCATCAGATATTGTAACCATTCACCCAATGTCATTTGATCTCTATAACATTAAAGGCTACTATTCCCTCCCTGTTAGATTCCTGCCCTCCTTCCCTCTCTTTAAAGTTCAGCACTGAGCCACCCAAGCCATACATTAAACCCTTTGGTTCCACATCATTTAAGCTCTCTCCTTTCTCCTGTGAGACCAAAAAGTGAAGAAAGCTGTAGAATACTGGCTTGTATTAGGTGGAATATTTGACCATCTGACCTTTCCTTTTCTTCCTTTTTTTTTTTCTTTTTTCTTTTTAGCAAGCAATGTTTAAAAGTAAACATGAAGCATTTTGATGCAAAAGAGGTTTGCCAGATTAAAAGGAAATTGGAAGATGAGTTCACTGTAGCATGTAGCTGTTGTGAAATCTTGTTTTGATTGAAGTTTTATTACCTCAGGATGTCTGTCTGCAGCTTATGTGCTGTTCTTTAGTCTGGGGTTTGTGAATGCACTGCTGGCTGAGAGAAGAGCTCAGGATGTGAATTGCAACCACTCAGTCTTGCAGAAGCCAAATTCCTGGAATCTGTCCTTTCAGCTGAGTTATAAAGTCTTGATGCTGCTCATGAAGGAAGAAAAGCACCAAGAGAATGCACAAGTGCAAACTGCGCCCTCCTTTTTAGACTGTGATTAGTGATGAAAGCTGAAGAGGAGAGAGAGGGGATGGAGAATGACATAATGGGTCCTAAAATGCTTGATTTTTATTAGATTAGGAAAGTAGTAGTATGGGATGAATGTCCAAGCTTGACTAAACAGCAAGAGGGTCGTGGCAGTTTATTAATGGCAGTTCTAATAACAATTCGTTGTAGTGCTGGCACTTGAGAAAGTGATGAATATTGTGTCTGCTCTGTTTCATTCTGTCCCAGTGAATCTGTGCTTGGATGCCATGGTGTGCCATGTGGGCCCGCTCACACTTGTTAGCTGAACACGAGTGTTTATGGACAATTAAACGTGCAATTTTTAATTCACACTTTGAAAGGTTGAGAGGTTGTTTTCTCTTTTTTTTTTTTCAAAATTTCTAATAGATCTGTGCCTTTCAAGTCTCTTAGAATGTGCAACTGCAGCATGAATTCAGAAAAATGGTCTCATTTCTTTAGCAATCCATTAATAGTAATGTACTGAAAGACTCTTACATTGATCTTCTCTCTGATAGCCATGTTGTAATAATTATTCTTTTAATGTTTGCATCAATCTAAATGTTTTCCTCTTTGTGCTCGCTTCTACTTGGATCTGCCTATATGACAATCACAGCACTTTGACATCTTGCATTACTTTAATACCAGTGATTCAAAACAAAGCAATGCCAAAGGGAACAAAAGTTCTGTCAAGCCATTAAAATCTTCTTTGCCATTAACACAATTAAATTGATGCATGAGCATTTAAAGTTATTAGCAAGTGCTGCCAGCAGAAGCTGGTTACAATTGCATAATATATAGTGGGCTTTATTAAAGTAAAATGGTATGTTTACTGTTATTATCATCATTAGTTCTGAAGTAACATAAACTTAAACAGGGCTGTGAATTGGGAGAGGACTGTGATACAACCAAGAACATGCTCTGCCCTGTATTAATAGTGAGGGACACAGTCATCACTTTTCTAAACAAAGAAATACACATTGCCTAATCATTACAGCTAGCATGTGTAATGGTAGGGAAGGGTGTTAAATAAAGAGAGCTTCTGTACCTCTGCTGCTCTCACTCTTCCCAGTCTGACTCACTCAGCTGGATTTTGGGCTGCTCCTGTTTCTGCTGTGAGAATTTTTGTGGTTGATGTGAGCTTTTTGGAGGACTATTTGTTTTGTTTTCTCATATTCCAACATATTAGTTTTTCAACGAAAAAGAATGAGGCTTGTATTAGAGACATGTGTTCTGTCCCACTGCACAGTGCAGTAATACCCCTGCTTGCTAACCTTTTGATTAACTATATTCCTCACTGAATGGGGAGCTGGTATGAGGAATAGAAAACACAGATGAGCAGAGAACTTAAAAGTATTGAGAGGGAAAAAAGTAATTTAAGTGAAAAGTAGGGAGATGAAGGAAGTCCCATCAAGTCCAAGTCCTGTCATATAAGGAATGCATGCCTGTTGCAGTTCATGCTGACCACACAAGGGCAGTTCTCAGCCAGGTTTATTAGGTAATTTGAGCTGAGTGGAAACTGGAGACAAAAGATGAAGCTCTTTTTTTGGTTGTTTGACAGTTTTAAGGTGGTATTGTGGAAAATTATAATCTATAATAGATAAAAATCACTGATATCCCCGTGGTGTAGTCATATTCACTTGGGTAATCCTTTACCAAGATACTGATGAACTGTTGGGAATTCAGAGAACGGTGATTAAATAAGCCAAAGGAGAGGAAAATCTGGTTTATCAGGAAAGAAGGTAAAAGTTGAACACAGAGTATTTGAGTAAAGTGTAGTATAATTCTGCATGTCTGTGTATGGCGTAAATGTGAAGGGAAGTAATGAATTACTTCTACTAGTGGAAAGAGCTCTACAGAAAAGCTGAGTTGACACTGAAAACAAAGTTTTAACCATTATAAAAGAACTACCTAATAGTTTGCAACACTCCATATTTTATTAAGGGAAGGAATGGGAGACCCATTTCCCTACAGTTTTTGGGTCAGACTAGCCATAGTACTAGAGGATTCAGGGGAAATCTGCTGCATTAGCAGAGCATGAGATTGGTGATCTAAGAGGTCTCTGTGGTCTTTGACTTCTGTAGCTGTGGATTTATCCATGAAGCTTAGTGCTGGCTGAAATGCAGGCAGAAGGCCATGGTCAGTGCTTTGGTCATGCTCTGTAGCAGATTAGGATGACAGGGATTAAGTTTAGTCATGACTCTCTTTCACCAAACTAGTAACTAAGGGCAATAAGGTAGAAGAATCAGGCAGAGGAGTCTCACTGAATATTTATGGCACAGAGGATTTACCTGTGCTTTGGTAACTTCCTGAATATTGTCTCTTCCTCTCCTGCTTTAACCCATGATAAGAGCCCACCATGGCTCTCTGCAAGTGCCAGAGTAGCTGTACATACAGGTCACATCTGCCTGTTGTTTCTGTAATTGTTCACAGTATTTAAAGGTTTTATGCTCTTTCATATCCTCAGAATGAGGGATTGTAGCAAATGCTGTAAGTACCATTTAACAAGTATTTTCAATTGGAATATATTAGCAGCATCACTCTGTGTGTGTGTGGGTCTGATTGGGTGCAGAGGTAAATTGAATCTCTCTAAGGGGAGAAGGAGCAGCTGTCAGGCCTCTTGAGGTGGATACCTGTGTGCTCTGCAGGCTGCAGAGGATGCTGAACCTGCAACAGGCTGATGGAGTGAGGGACAACAAAATCAGCAACCACCCTTATAGTCCAACCAGTATTTTACTACAGTATATATTTAAGTTTTAGGAGCTGTCTGGGCTGTTAGCCTATTAAGCTGTAGGATAAGATAGTTGATGATAACAGCTTTCTCCTGTTATCACCTCTGTCCTTCTCTGCAGCATGTGGCAAGTTAAAGCAAACCTCACCCTCTCTCTGAAGGCTGCCGATAGGAGTAACAGTGGGATCTTCTTCAATTACAGAAGTTTCAGGCAATTCCACTGCCAGTTCTCAACTGTGAGGAAATCAGAGTACTTTATTGCTTCAAAAGTGTCGTTAGTAACACAAAGCAGCGTGGAAGAAAAAAACAACTTTTGACAAAACGAGTCCTGCTGATGATTTATGTTGATCTGAACTGGAAAATTTGGTAGGCAGCAAGCATGGATACAGCAGTCTTCAAACAGAGGCAGTTGCTTGTTAGCTGTTCACCTGTGTGGTTGAACTTTGCATCCAGCACCTGACTAAACATTTCTTTTTTTTTCTTTAAACCTAGGTTGCCCTTCCCAATGACTCCAGCTGTGTGGAAGAAATACTGCGGGTAAGTAATACCCTTTGCTTTTTTATCTCCTGTATAATTGTAGTGCTGTTATTTTCATCTTCCAATGAGAGGGTTTATAGGGCTATCTTTAACACTGTAGTTAAATAAAAACATATCAGTGGGTCTGTATTAAGAGACATAGACAGGGGATAGGCCCAGGGTACTCCTTAGTGAGATCAGTTCACCTAAGACTCTTCATCTGCCAGCTTGTTTCAGTCAGGATTTCCACATGTTCCTGTTCTTTTCAAGCTCTCAGTCCCTGAGTCTATACAGGACACATTTCTCTCCTACCCTGAGGTACAGTTGCTTTAATTCTTCTACTCACAAACTGACCTACAGTCTTTCTCCTTCCTCTAGACTACAATTGCTCATCATTCATGGTTTTGTTAAAGACTTACATGTTTTTTGTGTGATCTTTGGTCAGTGGTTGAATACAGAAAATTGCAAGTCCAAAGTAAGAATGGCTTAATTGCAACAAGATCATGTAATAAAAAAAAGGGAGTGTGCACAAGTTGTATGCTTTAGTCTAAGTGTAAGATGGGCTTCTCCTCAGACACCCCAACTTTGGGGCTCCCTGTTGGCAGTGAGATTTGCCTGTGGGCAGTTTTGCAACCCCCCAGTCCCTCTCTCAGATTTAGGTTTTTCTCCTCATGAATTGAGTTTCCCATCTGTCACAGCTACCTACCTGCCTGGGAATGCCACCCTTCTTTGGTGTAGAAGGGATTAAAATTTCAGTGGGAATTTGTGCCAGCCATGTCCTTGTGACTGCAGGTAGTGCTGCAGACTTACCCAGACCTGAAGTCATGTGTAACAGTCATGCCAGTTTGTTTGCAAAGACTTACTCTAGCTTATAAAATAAAATAAGCTTCTCACTATTCATTGCAATTCAGAGTTAAACAACTTGGAAAAGTTGCTCCTGGTTTCTGTACACACATTATCTTGTGCTGCTCTAGATGTCCTTATGTGTTGCTGCAGAAGTGTGTTGAGGCAGCAGGCAGGGTTGTGTGTGCAGACCTGCTGTAAGGGAGAAGATCTTGCACAAGCACCCAGGAGCAATGAATGCAAGGAAATAAATAATATTTACTTTCAACCTTCAAAGTGAGCAGAGGTTTATTACCTATAGAACACTAAGGGAGCAAAAGCGAAGGAAATGTTGAAAGGCTCTGTGAAATACATTTTAAATGTCTTCTTTATATATTTCAATTAAGTTCATTACTATATGCAGAATGAATGACTTGTTGGCTGGGGAAAGCAGTTGTTTTCAGTAAAAAGCATCAAAAGAAAATGTGATGGGGTGAATTTCAGGGATGAATCATCCAGGTGACATTTTTAATGTGGGAACAGTGCATATAAATCACAGGAAGTAGAAATGTCTTTTTTCTAATCAAGATGGTGACCCTATTTCCTATGCCATGACTGTAATTTGAGTCAACAAGCACAATATGCTGGGCTTCCTTCTGAAACCTGTTGAGATTGGAGCAGGATTTTCTGTTGCCTTTAGAGGATGGGGATGAGCTGCAGAATCCCTGCTCCTGCTGCCAGTGGGCCATTGAACCTGGGGGCACTCTTAGGGTGACAGAGCAGGGATTGAGCAGGATTCTGTGTCTCTGGGGATCTCTCTCACAAGGACATGCATTGAGCCTGTGAAGAAGAGATACAAACCAGCATATCTTTCTGGACTACAGCTGCAGGTGCCCAGAGGCATCCCTCATGCCCATCCTAGACTAAACCTGTTGGGCATAGCTGCTGGCATGGCCAGAAGGCACCTGGAGCACACGACACCCGTGTTGGGGTGCAGATACAGCCTTGGCACGTGGACCTCAGCCATGGCTCCCTAAGGTGCTCCCCTCCATGTGCTGCTGCTTCCCAGGGGCTCTGTGCCCTCGGCATGGCTTTGGGCTGTTCTGGGCACCCACAGGCTGCCTTCAGCCTTTTGTAACCTGCCTGCACTGGGCTGCACAGTCCTGCCTGTGTGAGCACAGCAACCCAGAGCTGCTTTGGGACTGCTCAGCAAAGACAACCCCAAGCAGACCCCGGCCCCAGCTGGGTGCCCTCAGGGCAGCGGCCCAGGATTCCAACTGCACGTGGTGCTGAAGCACACCTGGCACTATAAGTACATGGGTTTTGTGAGTGTTTTACTTTGTTCTTCTCAAATTTATGGTGCAGAGCAAGCTAGCAGGAAATGTGTTTTGGTTGCATGCAGGGTATCATATTCTACTTGACAGGCAGTGGAGAGAAAATAAGGAAGAGAATGTGATGCCCAGCAGTGGTCAAAATTCATTCTTTGGGCTCCCCATGGAAACCGTGTCAGAAGATTCAGGCTGGCTGCTCCAGATGAAAGAATGACCCTTGGTTTCAGCAGAAATTTGCATTTTGAGAACCTGGATTAATTTTCCAGCCTGGCCAGGTACTTCTTGGCCTTTCCAGGGCCATTTACATAGGCTCTGATGAACTTTTGGGAGTGTGGGTCTCAGCTCCCTCATAGCAACTTCTTTCTGCAAAAACACCTTGTTATTCACATTTCCATCCTCTCAGGTATGTTACAGAGGTAAACACAACGGATTCCAAAACAGTTGAGCACCAAAAGCGGACAGTTGGGCTGTAATTGTGTATTTTGCCCAACCAAACCATTGGCAACCCCTGGCAGTTTCTGCTCTGGGCTGTGTCTGCTGCCAGGCTGCGCTCCCCAAAGAGCTGGGGAAGGGTGCTCTGCCTGGCCCTTGCCCTTGGAGCAATGCATACCTTGAAGTTTAGCATTTTATTTATGGTTTTGATTTGTTTTGGTTTTTTAAGGTGGGGAATCAAGTGATTTATTTCATTTCCATCCCTCAGAAAGTCACAGTAACTCTTGAGGGTTTCTTTGCTAGACTTTACAAGGAAGAGGTACTCCTGCAAAGATTTGTGACCTCTGATTTTACACAGCTCTTTTTTCAAGCTGAACTTGATTAATGGTTTCTGTAATTGTAGAGGTTTGTAATTCCTAATCTGTCGTCTTCTTTTTTTTTTTTTTTCCATCTTGGACAAAAAAGATTTAATTGAATTTATATTCTAAAATTTTCAACCAAGTGAGGGGAAAGGTCTTGACTTCATTCAGACCCCTGAGTCTTCAGAGACAAAATTTCACAGTCCTTTAGATTTCCTGAAACACTTAGCTACTTATGTCATCTTGTATAAATGCCTTAAGGACTGCTCCCAATACTACAGCCAAAGGTTAATGGCAGACCAGTCTCCTGCTAATTTTACTTTTCTAACCAGGATGGCTGAGAAGGTTGTGAAAAATAATAATAATAATAAATAATAATAATAGTAATAATCACCATCATCTCTTATACAAAAGGCCAAACAGTAATGATAGCACAGATTGCATTTAACATAGGCTGCTAATACCAAACTGAAAGAGAAAGGCAAATACCTGGTGATCTACATTTTTCTGTTCCAAAATATGTTGTTTGTTTTTTTTTTTTTTTCCAACCAATGTGATGGTTTTGAGAGTGTGGATAATGTGGAAGACAGAGAATTAAAAGTATGTGCATGTAATTCACATTTTATTAATACGGATTTAAATTAAGTTGTCACTTGCTATGTGCATCCATTGAAAAATGAGTTCATTGAAATGTTGTGATCCAAAGTGCAGATGGGGTGGGAGAGCTGACATTTAAAACCAGTCTCCAGAGCTGTTACTTGTGCCACTGGTACCAGTGTTTACATCAGTGTGCCTTGCTGTCACTGCATGTGATGTGAGCCGTGTGCTGGCCCAGGGAAAGGAGGTGTGGAGGTGACACTGAGGGTGAAGAAGCAGTGATCCTTTTCCTGTCTGTGGAAAGCCTTTGCCTTGGTTTACCCCCGGCGAAAGAGTTGATAAGCCCGCAACAGTGCACAGGAGAGAAAGGATATTTTTTTTAACTACATGTTCTGGAGGACTTGGAGTGTAAATTGTAAATTTGGGCTGGGTGTTCAGGCAATCAGCTGGACATAACCCAGCACTGCAGCTCTCATGGCTGTATCGTAACCACCTGGGCAGGCTCTGCTGTCTGGAAATCAGTCCCTGCTTAGAGGAACAAAAGAATTCTTGTACGTGCATATTCACAGTAGGAAGGCATCAAGTAACTAGATGGACTTCTGATGGTATGTGGACAGCTGTGATACTAATTAGAAGCTTTCTAGTCTGGATGCAAAACAGATCCCAAATATAGTTCAGATTGTAATAAGTGTAAAAATGACCGGAGTTAAATGAGCAAAGTCTGTAATTTGTATGGTCGCCTTCTGATGACTAGCTCCTGTCTAATGACATGGGAGAATATTTAAATTGATCAGCAGGTGAAAATGCCCTTGACTCTGCAAATTATGTGTAGGATTACCTTCCTCATGCCAATTGAAAGGACTAACGGATTTAATATGTCTCACCCACAGCTGAAGTGAGTTGTTCACATAGCAAAATTAGACTGTAACAGATATAGCCCATTATTTGCCCCTCAGTAATTGTTTTCTCTTCTAAAATACAAATAACATTGAAGAATGATGCTAAACTTAATTACAATAATTGTAATTTGAAAAATATAGGTAGGCTGTCCGGTGTGGTTACAAATGCACTTAGTAGCTGACGGGTAGTTTAAATATTTTCATGTGGAGTCTGGGGGCTTGCTGGGGAGGACATGATGTGAATTTAAAATGATTATCCAGACGTCACTGGACAAGTGAATAACGAGCTGACTGGCCTAGTAAATCATGTGAACCTGTCAAATGTGGGAACACGTTGGGGAGGAGATGATGTCAAGTAACAGTAACTTAGCAACCTGGCATTTAGCTGTCCAGAGAATGAGTAAGAGTAGCCACTTTTAAATAGCTGAGTAAATAAATGAAATAGCTGAGTAAATAAATGAATCCCTATACGTCTTAGGTGTGCTATAAAAATAGCCCAGCACCGTATGTTTTGTGTCAAGCTGCTTCTTTCTCCTGGATAGGGTGATTTATTATTTCTATTGAAATGAAAAAATGGATTG